AATTGATCTTTATTTAAATCTATATTTAAACAACGCACATAGCCAACCGACGATAATTTTTGTAAGTTTCAGCATTTTGCATGAATATTTGGTTTTTGTGTGATTTAATAGTTGAGTTGATATGATAGTTTGATAGATAAAAAGTTGATAAAAAATGGGTGAAAAAGTTATAAAATTAAAAAGTTGATAAAAAATGGGTGAAAAATTTGATAAAAAATATATTTAGTTGAATAAGTTTATAAAAAATAGTTGGAAAAGTTGATAAAAAAAGTTAATAGTTGAAATTAATGAGAATTTTTTAGAATTTTTTTGTATTTTTTTTAAATTTTTATCATGTTTTCCATTGGTGGATGCTTTAAAATCAGCTCGAAATTTCGATATACGTAATCGGTTTTGTATCTTCACCGCAGCTTTACTATTTAGTCTGTTAACGCACCCGAGAGAAAAGCTATTTTCCTTATTTATTCTGTGTTTACATAAAAAGCTTCTTGCGTTTTGCATCAAAAAATAGTATTCAAAAGGAGTAGAGAAAATCGCGTCTCTTCATTCCCAATGCTATTTTTAGCCGCAAAACTCAAGACGCTATTTATGTAAACACAGCATTAGACAGATGTCAACATTTCAATTAAATTATTACTCTCCTCAATTTATTACAGCTTTCGAGAGACTACCTGGGGCCTATTTCAATTGTCCACAGATTCTGCATTCTGTGCACAGAACACAGATTCTGTGGAAATTCTGTTTCAATTAAATTCTGTGTGCACAGAATCTGTGGTGCCCGCAGATTCTGCGGAAACATCCAATGATTCTGTGGAAACATTCCGCAGATTCTGTGGATGAAAATTTCTGTGGAAAATATAAAAATCTGTGGATTTTTTCCACTGATCCACAGAATTTGTATTTCAATTATTTTTCTGTGGTTCTGTGTATTTTTTCTTCTAAATTCAAATTTTTTATTTCCGCGTTTTTGAAAATAACAGTTTTATTGAAACGAAAAATGGTTTGGACAGTTCGGTACTACCGCAGTATTAATGGTACCTGATTTTTTGAAGTAAAACTTTAAAAATTCTTAAATTAAACTGAAAAATATTGTAAAGATTTAAAAATTTTCCCTCCAAATCACATAACATCCCTTTAAATCTCTTTGATATCACTTTAAAACCGCTGATATACCGCTTAATTTTCTTGTTCATCCAATATCCTTAAATCTCCAATTAAATTAATGTCCTAAAGCAGGGTTCGGATCGGAAAAATCAGGAGATGTCGATCCGACATGTGGCTTTTTCAAACTACGATAGAAGTTGTTGCAAGGGAGGGAAATGTTACAAAACTGGGGATTGTTTAGTCAGAAATTGAGGTTACTGGAAATCGAAAATGCCTGGAATCCAAAATTATAGTCAAATCGGAACTTTAAAATCGTAGAGGAGTGATTAAGTGGGATATCCATTGATTTTGAGGTTTAATATATTGGAGTGATTAAGGAGGAAATCTATCATTAAATAGGAGGAGAGATTATGACGGATATCAATGAGAGATCATGGGAGATATCCCAGTATACGCTATACAGATATATTCTATAGATCCTGGTAAACATCCCCTCATTAGAGATATCCATGATGATTAGAACATCATAGCTCTAAATTTCAGAATCTCTCACGTTTTTTATTTTTTTATTGCTTGAATATAACAAAAACTGCGTAAAAAAGATGTACCTTTTTCAAAATTAATTTTAAGCAATAATTTTAGGTAATAAAATTATAATTTTTATATCAAAAAATAGAGAATGATTCAAACTTTAATAATCTTTAAAAATTTTGAAATTTGGTTAAGCCTAGGCCTAGAAAAAAATTGTTAAAGTTTTTCCACAGAAAGTTCGCAGAAAAAATTTTAGGGTGGATTTTTTAAAGAATTCTGTGTATTTTCCGCAGACCACAGAAATAATTGAAACAGAAATGCACAGAATCGACTAAAAAAGCCACAGATCTGTGGATTTTTTTCTGTGCACAGAAAAATAATTGAAATAGAATTCTGTGGTTTTTGCATGTTTTTGGATGTTTTGCAGAATCTGTGGATGTTTCCACAGATTCTGTGCATGTTTCCACAGAATCTGCGGACTTCTTTTTCCGCAGAATCTGTGGAATAATTGAAACAGAATTTCTGTGGTTCTGTGGTCTGTGCACAGAACGCAGACCGCAGAATCTGTGGACAATTGAAATAGGGCCCTGTACAGGTACCGGAAAATTTTGATATTTTCGGTACTACCTGTAAAGGTACTTATCGGTACTAACGGTAACGGAAAAATCCATTTGTCTAACACTTGAATATATTGAACAAATTTAAATAAATATATTTATGCTTAAAATCCCAATTAAAAAAATTAAATTAAATCCCAAATCAAAATTTAATATGCTTAAAATCCCAAATTTAAATATAAAAACACATGATTTGAATGTTAGTTTTTAACTGAATTAAAAATATGCGAGACATTTTCAGCAAGTGTTTGGAAATTTTGGACTTAAAAAGTTTTGCAGTTAAATTTTTTCAAACACTGCTTGACACTTTCAGACACTGCTTTTTCCAAACAATGCTTGACCCGACTTTTCCGGCTTAGACTAAAGGGTATAAAATTGTTAAATCAAACCAATGAAATGCCAAAACAAATATTTTTCTGTTAAATTCTATCCATTTATTCAATTTTATTTTAAACCTGTTATTATTTGCCATTTTTGTAAATTTAAGTGAAAATTAATGTTCTTTAGTAATTTTACATGTTTAAAAATATATTTACATTAAATGGAAATTTTGGGGGTCTGGCATTTCAAAGGTTTGGTATTCCAATACACTCCAAGTTTAAAGTAAAAGTTTAGAAATATAGGTTTCTTTGGGGACCAAATTTTTTAGCCTTTTATTGTTGTACTCTCAAAAATTCGTTAGGAATAAGTCGGAAATGTCTAGCTTTTTAAACCAGATATGGTCATGGAGACGGATAATATCAGGAATATATGGATAGTCAACTCAAAATCATCGGATTTCATCACACTTGCGACATTAAGAGAGTCAATATTTTTGTCTACGGTCATCCAAATTCAAAAAATTTTCGCCTGCGCCGCTGAAACGAAAGATTAGTAATAAAAACGAAAACAAGTGTCGGACCGAATTCTGTGGTGAGTACGGCTAAAATTAGCACGTAATTTTTATTGCTTGGTATTAATAGAAAATTAAAGGATTTTCAAATTTAGTCAAGTGCCATTTTGAGAAAAACGGATATATCTACGGATACATGTGGACGAATATACCTAAAAAAATTAACAGGATATAAACGGATACGGATCCATGACCATGTATGTTATAACCCCTTCTTTAAATACCTAAAAAAATTTAAATCATATAAACTCCTTCGTCTTTCATTTAAACTCTAATAATTTTCAATCAGAATCGCTTGAAGCTTCAATTACTTTCTCTTTTCCCTTTTTAGATTGTTCTCCTTGATCTAAATTTTATGGATATATAGATAAATTATAAATTAAAATTGCTTTTAAACACACTCTATTTTTTATACCTCGTATTATTGGACCTCCTCGACCCCGAGTCATTTGACGAACACTCTCTTCAATGGCCTTTTGTGTTTGTTGTTCATATTCAGCTGTTAATTTATATTATAAAATTTTATTTTTCGTGAATTCTTTTATTTACCATCGGTCAAATATTGATCATGATGCCCATAGCCCTGTGATGCAGGCACAACATCTTTTTAAAATAAGTATAATTTAAATTAGAGAGAGACACTCTTGGTTCCTCTTGAACCAAATATTTTCTGGTTTTTTCGGTTTTGGGCTGTACAGGTCGGGCAATAGGAATATTGGGCGGCCATACAATAGCTGATCGGTAGCGGGTTGAATAATAAAATAATGAACTTACCTATATGGTTTAGGTACGCTTTTTTTAGCCACGCCCTTTTTTCCTATTCCATAATCAATCAACCTTAATATGGACAGAATGGTCAGCCTTCTTCTTCCTCGATTTCACTTAACTTTCTCTGTGGCACGTTCAATGAGAGACATTAACAAGGAAAAGATTAATTTTCCTTTCCAATGTCACCAAAATGGAATTAACATTTGCATCAAGATTCATATTTTTATCTATTTCACTATTTAAATGGCAATAAGTATCCTTGGTCTGCGTTTTGGAACTAATGGTCCCGGTATTTTATTGTGGTTTCTAGTAAAAACACTGCTTATTTTTACCAATTTTTAGACTAAATATTTTTTAAATCGAAATATCGTGAAAAGTTTCGAGGATTGAGATGCGCCACCCCCAGTCCGGTCTCTACTTATAATTATACAAAATACCTTCATTGTGATCTGGCCCAAAAAGTTCGTTATACATTTCCTCTAATGAATTTTGTTCCTATTTATGAATTTATAATTAATGAATTTATAATAATTAAAACTCAGTGCATTTATTTACCTACTGGCACATTAAAAATATCAAAAAAAAAAAACTTTTTTCTTTCTTTTTCTTCTAGGGACCAATGAAGCAGAAGATTACCGGATTTTTCAAAATTTATTGGAATCGGAAACAGGAATTACTGATGAAATTCTAATTCTCGATTTCGGTAGATCAGGATTTCGACCGAATTCTCGATTTTGAGGACTCGGTTTCGGCTAGATCCTATAAATATACTTATAATAATTTATCTACTAATAAACCGATTAACTCTACAACATTGTTAAACATTTTGTAAATTAATTTTAATTTACTCACATATATTTCTGTATTTTTTTGTTCAGGATTGACAAAATTAATTCCGTGTGTTAAACAATGTCTTGTTAATGCAGTAATATGGTCGTCAAATTTACGTCTGCAATAATGACATTTAAATTTTCCTTCATCTCGTCCTTTTTCTATTTTGGTAAAATGTTCCTTTACAGATTGTCTCTGAAATAAATTTTAACAACAAATATAAAATTGTTTCTTTGGCTTGTATTAAATTAGATTAGTTATTTTAAACTATAATATAAAAATAAACAAAAATATACATCATGTTCGCGAATAGCTTTATGTGAATTTCTGATATGACTCCACGCAGAACATCTTTTCATTTGTCCGGCGCAGTGTTTGCATTCTACTCTATTACCGCCAATATCTTTAAAATTATTCCAGAATTGCGAATGTTTCTAAAAAGCATAAAAGAATAAAATTAAAATATACAAAAATTCTCCACTCTGTATAAATATTCGAAAATTTTCACTTATAGGACCCAATAATCAGCCTAGCGTTATTCCTTCCAAATACACTTATATCCCAAAAAATACCCTTTAATTCTTCAAATCACTATTAATCCCTTAATTGATTTTGGTGTCATTCAACTCAGGGCTGTGTGTACCGGTGGAAAAAGTTCGGGACGTGACATATTTCATTTGATTCGTCTCGACGAGTACCACTCCCTACTTTAGGAAATGATTAGGGACCGAGTTATAGGTCCCGAAAAATTGCAAAACCATAGGGGGGAGGTAAGCTCGATTTTGGAATGAAAAATTCGAATATTCTAATAGCTCATTCGAAAGAGCTCCTTGAGCTGAATCGAATGACACAAAAATCACTTAAATCTGACTTGATTTGACTATGTTATGCTCGTTTGTTTTAGCTCCTTACTTATGACCACCTTGGAGGTTTTTGCGGCTACGGAGGAATAATAATGCAGTCGGAGATCAAGCGACTGCATCATTATTATCAATTTTAATTTAAAATTAACCATTTTTGAAGGTTCCTCCATACTTTCATCCGAAAAATTTGGTTTTGTTCTTCTATTCGATTTGTCAGAAAACGGAGGATTTATGTCTTCTTGGCCTTCTAAATTTAAAAAAAATTTACCTACAGCGCTGAAAACTAATATCCCTTAAAAGGTGGTGTATAGAGTTGTTTCGAAACAAAAAAATGTTCGAATATCAGAAATCGAAAAATAGTTCAAGAATATGAAGTCGAAATATTTTCCAAAAATTTTCGAAATGTCGAAAGATATAAATTCGAAAATCGAAGAACGAAAAGAGAAAAAAAATTTAAAAATTAGAAAATATTTTCAGGTTTTATGATGATTAGTTGAGACTTTATGATGCTTAGTTGCGATCAGATTTTATGCAAATGCCATTTTTTGCAAACTTGTCATGATGTATAATGCACAAAAAACAGTTTCCGCTTGGTTACAAAACTTTTCGACGATTTCGAAAATTTTTCCCTCGTTCTTTTCTTACTAGTAGTTGTTCCGTTGAATTTGTTCCGGTTTCCGGATTAACAGATTTTAGTTTTAAGTTAAGAGATTTAGAATCGGCATAACATATAAGTAAAGTATTGAAACTACGTGAGAATCATCTTAACATTTAGTTCTTTTTAACATTGGCTCTCTCTTTAAAATATTCATAAATATTCAGCTTTTGGACTCCTACAATTTTTTTTGGATACACTGTATGGGACGCATACACTTTTTTTGTGTATGCGTCCCATACATGCCGAAAATGTTTAAGGATAAGTAAATATTGTAAATGCTTGGGCGCTCAAGCATCAAGTAAATGCTTGAGAGGTTAACAATCCTACAAAGGCCAAGCATCTTAATTATCAATAAATTCTCTTTTAAAAATATACCAGTTGGAATATCGTCATCACCAAATATTTCACTAATTGTATTTGCTATATGTTCTTTCCTAGCTTGTTCTAGTTGTACTTTAATTAAAATTCTTATCAATTTGTAAATTATTTTTATAAATATTAAATTCGAAAATAGTCAGCTCCGTTCTGGGTTTCCAAGAGGCGATAGTTAGGAGAATCTAATAGGAGAATCTAAAAATGGAGGTATGTACATCTTATCTTTTGTAATTGTTAAGAAGGTTAATTTTACGTATACTTTATAAAAATTTTAGTTATTCAATTCTCGAATTTAATTTAGTCTTATTAAATATGCCTTACATTTTGTGCTAATTACATGACTTTCACCTTCAATGTGTTTTTTTAATGCTCTAATGTTTGCTGGCGAGAGCTTAAGATTTAAAATATTATAGACGCTTATTTATTAAAAATAACGTCAAATCTGTATCCAAAAGTTTTACAAGTTTCACACTCGAGCATTCCCGCTTTTTTATTAACTGACAAACATTTTCCTTCGTTGCCTAATTGCTTTTTCAATTTTTCTAAGAGAGTTATTTTTTCAAAAAGATCTGTAAATTTATTTAATTCATTGCAATTGAATGTAAGGATTTATAATATAAATAGATTAAGGGAAATTAGCAAAATATCTTAAAACGTTAAAAAAATTTGAATTTTTTAAAAATAATGGGAAACATTTAAAGTTTTTGAAATTATTTTACCGTATCTATGACCACTCATTTGCTCATTCTTTATCAATCTGTCATGTGATTCATTGTGTGCGTTAAATTTGCGCCCATCAATTAGCTTCTTTAATATTTTTATAAATCTCTAATATTTAAAAAAATTTACTCTCCTACAACACAGCTACTTAAAATAGGCAAAGGCTGCCATTCGATATATAAATCGTGATTTTGGAACCTGCTACCGGCTAAGATAAATCTAAGTGTTTAATACAGAATGGATTATTTGACATTCGTTTTTAGGAAATAACATCTATGATATTGTAGGACAGAATTTTAAATCTATAGAGACCTAACAAAAAGTCGGCTCTTGTCCAGTTTATGCGTCCCATGGAGATTTATGCGTCCCGTGGAGATTTATGCGTCCCTTAAAAATTTTATGCGTCCCATGACGATTTATGCGTCCCATGAGAATTTATGCGTCCCATGAAATGAATTGAAAAAATTTACGAAGGCTACAGGTACGTCCAGAGCAAAGCAGATATGAATAGGTTTATGTTACTTACCCAGAATCCATCGACCTTTGACACCCAACGAGGCGCGTGCGGCAAAACTCCGCGCGAAGCGAGGAGTTTTGCACCCATAGGTTTACTTGGTATGTTGCAAGAAAACTAATTTTGCAAGAAAAACATGGCCAAATTGAAGTCCTGTTTTAATATTTAACATAGATGGGACACCGGGAGTCGGGATCGGGAGGCCAAAAACTCGGGAAATTTTCCCGAGTCGGGAGTCGGGATCGGGATACCCGAACATCACTAGTATACATACGAGGATTTTATCGCATATTTTGCAATATATATCATAAACATCCTTGTTTGCTTTAACTATTTCATATCTTTCTTTGCCTGGATCAAGACGCTCAATCCATTGATGGCCTAATTTTTAAAATAATTTTAATTAAAGATTTTATTTCCGACTGGGACATTAGGCGCGGGCATTAGGACGACTCCAGATATGGAGTTCAGAACACTGGGGAAGTTGTTCCGTACAATAGGTTTCGAACACCAACTTCCCCCGTCTTGAACAGAACTTGTGAAGTTGGTCCGTCAACGGAGGAAGTGTTCCAAGTTGTCTCGAAACGGGTGAAGTTGTTCCAAGAACGTGAACAATTAAATTTTCACTGTGGCTCGAAAACGACCCTAGTGGCGGCGCCCTAATGATCCCAACCCTTTTGTTTGATTATTTAATTACAATCTTTTCCATAATAATTTTTCTTTTTAGCTTCTTCAACTTTCAAATGTTGTCCACCATAAGGGTTAATATTTTGTTGAGGCATTTGTTGTTGAGAAAAGAATGGATTATTTCCAAATCTAGTTTCCAACCCTTGAAGATTTTGAGGAATATTGAAATTAATTTCACTCTGAGAGCTAGGAAAATTAGAACTAGCAACGTTACGTTCGCCTGTTCCAGTTCCTGTTCCAGTGCTTCCTTCAACATCACGATATCCAAAAATATCTGGCATTTGTCCTTCTTCATTTGGGTCTTCTTGTTCTTGGTGAGGGCGTCTAACTGCCTTTCCTCTTTTACGAGGAGGACAAATAATTGGGGTTATAATACAACAAAGCAATAAAGCTTTTGTAATTTTCATATTTTCATTTTCTTTTTCTAAACAAAATTGCTTTTAGACTAAAAATTTTGTTTAGTAAATTATTAGTAGGGTGCCGTGTGAGTTAGGCAGTGGTGAATTGGGCAGTTATTAATACACACTTGAATACCAAAGCACCACTACTCACTTAAACTAACAACTACAAATTAGTAAATGGTAAAAAACAATATTTATTTAAAAAAATCAACTAACCTAGCTTTTTGTGACTATTATGCCATAACCTTATTTAAACTAAAGATAATGAGATCAAATAAAGCTTATATGAGAGAGAACTAAAAGGAACAAGAATTGTCAAGAATTTTTCAAGTACCCACCCTATGCTTGGATAGAGAATAAGACGCATGAAAAAATTTTTGGCAGCTGTTCGCACCTCCGCGGGTGAGCTTTTCTTCCATTCCCGAACGAGTCAGAACCGCAGAGTCAGAACCGCATTTTTGGGTTACTAAACATTGACCCTTGCATCAAAATTACCAAAAGGGTTAGCTCATCGGATTCAGCTCCGATGAGTACGGTGGCGAAATACAAGAAATAAATTACTAAAAATTATAAAAAAAATATTCTTCAAAACTAAGAAACCACCAAAACTGCCGATATCCACCTTAATCCCTTTAAATCGACAGATATCCACTTTAATCCTCCGATATCTGTTCAAAATCTAATAATATAACACAAACCCACTTCTATCCGTCAAATCCACTGATATTTGGGGATTAAGAGGAATATCATTTGTGATAGCTTCTATATCCCTTTAAATCCCAATTAATTCCTATAAGATACCGTAAATGCTGAAATAATGTCCCTCTCTCAAATAATTACCCCCCGCCCTATTAATTACCCCCTACAGCCAGATATCGAAAAAAGAATTACCCTCTTAAAATAGTTATAATTAGCCTTTCTGAAAAAGGCTCAAATAATTACCCCCTCCCTTTTAATTACCCTATTCAGCGAGACGTTGAAACAATAATTACCATGGATAATTATTTTAGCAAATACGGCATCCTATTTCTAACTGAAAAAACAGGTAATATTTACTTAACTTATTCTTGCTCCTTCCTATATTTTTGTCCATGACTATATTTAAATTTTTTATTAAAAATGGATGTAAATAAACAAAAATGAATACAAACTAGGTAAAGTAATTGGCTTAAATAAACAACCCAAAAAATTAAGTGCATTTTTCCATTGATGTACATATGCTTTAAAATGAGCTCGAAATTTCGATTTAGCTCTATGCAAATTTCGTACCTCTCCACAGCATTACTACTAATGCCTAGCTTACAGAAAAAGCGTCTTGCGTTTTGCGGAAGAAAATATTGGAAAGAGGGAGAGACAAAATCGCGTCTCTTCATTCCCAGTGCTATTTTTGTCGCAAAACGCAACTCTTTTTATGTAAACATAGCATTAGACAAATGCTAACATTTAAATTCAATTATTCATCTCCTCAATTTATGCATCGATCGAGAGATTGACCGACAATTGTAAATAAGAAAAATCAATTTAATATTTTATTTAAATTTAATATTAATTAATTTAATATTTATTTATTTAATACAGTATCACACGTATCTTTGAAACAACTTTTCAAAGCCGCTCTTTAATTCAGAGTATGGCTTGCCCTTCTAGCACCGCAGGCGAAAATTTTCAAATTTTAGGCCAGAGAAGTCGGACTTCTCGTAGATTTCTTCCTTTCGCCATAGGCTTCTAATGAAAGAATGATAACAAATAAACTACCATGTCCTGAAAAATTTTTTATGGAGAACATTGTTATTTAAAAATCCTAACTTTTCTAATATTACATCCATGTTCAAGTCCTTGAAGACAACACTATTGTAGACTAATTTAAAACTTTCTTAAATGTCCAAACAAATAAAGGGTTTACATAGAAAGTTGGATAGTGCTGAAGCTAGTTTTTTAAAAAAGGAAATTAAAAAATACTAAATAGAAGGAATGCAAAGAAGAATAAAAGACAAAATGAAAAAAGCTTTCAAAATAAACTCTCATTTATTCTTCTCTGCTTTTCACGTAATATCTACTTATATACTTCCCATAGAAAACTGCAAATAAAATAACTTAGGTTTGTATATAAGCAAAAAGAAGGATTAAACGGAAGCGAACTATTGACCGCCGTTTCCCGTTGGATATGAGTGATCAACATATGGTAAAAAGGATTTCTTCAGTTGTCTATTGAGCCAACTCCCATATGGTCCTCCCAAACCAAGTGCAACTAGCGCTATGGGCAATGTCCTGGTGACCGAGGAGGATGCTAGATGATCACCGGCTTGCCATGGTGGGTGTAGTATCTGGCGGTGGTATTCGGATGGAGGGTCAGTAAATGGTTCGCTAATTTTTTAAAAAACTTTCAAAGTATAACGTCCTTTTCGAATTTTGTCAGAATCAAAAATATAAGTGAATAGAAACAATGAGAACGTTTCAAAATGAATAAAAAATAATCTAACCCATTTCTAAATTTTTATTTTAATTTGAAAAATATTTCGTCACATTCTTATTTTGCAAGTTTTAAGCCGATCAGTTCACATGTTTATTTGTTGTAAAATTGAATCTAGAAAATGAAAGAATTTTAGAGTTAGTACATTCAAAAAATTATTTTGGAATTTCAAATTACAAAAATTCATATAAAAATTATTATAACAAAAACAAAAGAACCTTCGCTTCTTAAAATCAAGAGGAAGAAATCTCATAATTTTTAGTACTTGTGCATGCACAGATCCATATCTCACCATTGGAAGAATTTTTGGCATACTAGAATCATCTATAGAGACCAAGCATTTTCTAAAAAAAAGAAAAGTGAAAAAATTTGATCAAGATTTATAAAAACTATAAATAAATTCTTTAAGGTATAAAATTTATTTCGAATTTTGACGAGTTTAAAACCAAATAACTTATCAAAAAATAAAATATGTATTAAACAACCTCATTAATAATTTCTTCTAAAGTTTGTTCTTATAGAAATTCTGTCAATTAATTCAAAATTCAACTATCCACTACTTCCATTATTGTCAACATTTATGGAATTACTTAAAACATCCATGCTTCCATTTGTGATCATAATAAGTAAATTAAATGCTGAAATTTTATAGACAAATGGACGAAAAAGGATTAAATTGTAGTTGATCAGATAATAAAAATATTTTTGTAAAAAAGTTATTTAAATGTTTAAAAAATAATTATCATTGAAAAATTACAAGAGATTATATGTATTTATTCACCCGAAAAAAAATAAAATTGATAAATGATCAGGAAAATAATTTAAGTAAAAAAGTCACTAATTAAAAGCCACGGTACTTTAAAAAAAAGTAATAATTGAGCAAAAAATGTATAATAAATGTTAAAGTCCGGGTTCTTGGCGACCGGTTAATTCCAGCCTATGGCGGTTTAAAGGGGGAATAATAAGAGCGTTTAAACCTCCCCAGGTAATAATTAACCGGTTGCCAAGAATCCCAGTTGAATTTAAAAATTGGACAAATAATGTTTGAATAAGCTCCTCTCGTTATAAATAGGGAACGGATTTTTATGGATTTCCTAATTTTTTTCCTGGCCTAGTTGGGTTCTAAAACGTCCAAAAAACATAGTTTTAGTATATGTTGATAAGCCGTTTTTGAGTTATCAATCTATATTTTGACATTTTTTGTCAAATTTTGCCAAAAATTGGTCCATATTTTTCGTTTGATAGTCCTTATAAATCCGTTCCCTACATATAAATAAATAAATTCGTAAAAATTAAAACATTTTAATTTAATGTCCAATTTTTAATTAGGTATATCACAAAAAGGCCATGTTAAACAGGTATGAATGAAAAATGCTGATAGTTTTTGTCAATTTAAATTTTTTGTTTAAATTCTTAAAGCCAACCATGAGACTTAAATTCATTACTTATAACCTCATAAATTGCCGCTTCTGCACTGCCTGGATCAAACAATTTAAAATTGAATTCAGTTGAGGTAGGTAAACGTTCAGATAAGAGAATAACTCCCTCAGGTGCCATATCCAAATATCTGAAAAAAAATTCATTTTTTGACAACAAAAGTAATTTTTAAAATAATGTAAGAGAACATAAAGCTATCCCCCAAGGACGTAGCCAGGGGTGCTTCTGGGCTATACCCCCACTCATGAAATGGGGAAAGTGAAAAAATGTTAGGAGGGAAATGATCAGAAAAGTGAATTTTTTACGCCTACAACACACAAAATTCTCAAAATTTTCGCTGCGGCGCTGAAAAAATAAAAATATATGACAATAAAATGCGCGTTCGGAACGTCAAAGTAAAACAAAAAAATTTTTGGCGCACACCCCCATTTTATCCACCTGAAATCGACCTCTTGGCTACGCCCTTGCTATCCCCTATGATTATCCTTTTTTCAAAAAACAAAGTGGCTTAACAGAAAATAAATTGAAAATGAGGAGAATTTAAAATTCTAACCAATGCTTAAACTAAATACAAAAAAACTCCTCAGGTAAAAAATAAAAATAAATTAAAAAATATCCAAAAAATTTTCCCAAATTTTCAATTTACCCCAAAAAATTAAAAATATACTTTTTGACTGCCTCAAGAAATTTATACAGAAAAACAAAGCAGCAAGCCACATTGACACCAGACATGGACAAATGATTAGCCAAAGAACTCATTTCGAGATATTCAACTTGATTTAATCGACCTAAAAATTAAATTGAAAATTTTTTAAAAATTTCAAGAAAACCATTTTCATGAATTCCAATAGCCAATTTTCTAATTCCAGCCAAATAAGCTTGGGCCCACCATCTTAAGACTAAAAAGGAAATTTTTTTAGAAGATTCACAAAAAATTAGAAACTTTATCCCAAAAGGGGCGGAATCGTTATTTTCATTACCTGCAAGGAAAGGAAAAATGGAGACGGACGGACTCGGACAGACGAAAACAAGACGGACCCGAACAGACAAAACACGGCAGGAAATATTTTAAAAACTGATAGACATCCGTGTTTTGTCTGTCCAAGTGTGTGTATGGACGTCAGCCTTTAAAGTGTTTAGTATAAAAACCCAGCCAATAGTTAGTTCTCGCTCTGTTTTAGTTCTTCCTACCACAACTTCATCTTCTTTGTATTTTCCTTGTGTGATAAACTTCTGTTGTGATTGCCTACGTAAGCGGGGTCGTAACACCGAGTACGTCTGTGTTCTGTCTGTTCGTCTCCATTTTTCTCTTTTCCTTGCAAGTAATGAAAAAACGATTCCTCCCTTTTTTTGGGATAGGGTTAAAAAAACCTTTATCAGTAAATCCCTGCCCAAATCCAAGCATTTTATATTGTGTTTTGAGCTAAATTGAGCTTAAAATTAAATTGAAATTGAATAAACAACCCCCAAATATTGTCCACTCGAGGGCACTATACAATCAATTTCAGCTCCATAAAATATTCGAAAATTGGAGGAAGGGTCCTTTTGAGAAGGAGCATTAATTGTAGCTGAAATTAGTCAAAAAATAAAAATAAATTAAGAAAAGGAATAAAATAATCGAGTTTAGGCTTTTTAATACCAGAAAAAAAATTTTTAGTAAAGGCAAAAATGTTTTCGAAAAATCGAAAAAAATCAAAAAATAGAGCAAATCTATTAGAGAACTGCTCAAGTCTGAAAAAATATGTTTTCAATAAAATCCCAGATTCAAGGATTTTTTTAGCTTACTAGAGGATGTAATCGGCATAATAAAAGTTCCTTGACCAAGACACCGGTTTTTTAAAATATATAACTAGGGTTGTTCACTACCGGCTATTAACCGGTACTCTCCGGTTTTCGGTTAATCCAAATTTTAAAAACCCGGTTTTCGATTTTAAGCAAATACCGGTTTTATTTTGGAGGAATCTTTTTAAAAATCACTCAATTTCAGAAATTTTCGGTTTTTTAAATTTTGTAAAAACGGTTAATTTTTGGCAAAAAAATATCAAAATTTTCGGTTTTAAAACCGCTCGTGAGGAACCCTATATTTAACCTATAAAATGACAAAATAAAGCGGAAACCCGACAAAAATAAAATTTCCAAACCTTTAAAAACCCCAATAAAATCGGGTTTAACACAAACAGTTTCTTTAAAATCAGGCCTTTTTCCCTGTCCTTTTGTAGTAACAAGCTGTTTAAATTTGTGGGCTTCATAACACATTCGATTATGTCTATCAATCATATTTACTTCTTTTTCAATTCTAGTTGGGGTGTAATATTCACGAATGAAATAAACGCCTAAAATTTGTAGATTAAAGGAAAAAGGAAATCCAAAAAAACTATTAATTGCTCTATTTTCGATTACCCCCACCCTAGACTTTAAGAAAAAATTTGAATAAATTATTTTTCGAAAGATCAAATCGGGCTTAAATTTTGATCCGAAAAATCTCGACAAGTCCGACTCAAGAAAAGACTTGAAATTCGAAAACGTCAACCCTAACCCTAAACCCCCACCCTCTAAAAAACAAAAAATTTAGAAATAGACTGAGAAAAATTTGAATAATTTGTTTCTACCCTCTATAGGATTTCCGGTCCGATTCGAAAGATCGAATCTGTCCTAAATTTTAGCCCGAAAAAGATTCTACGGGTCCGGCCCAAAAAAACTACTCGAACGACGGCCCGATTCGAAAATGGCAACCCTAAACCTCTAGAAATTATCAGTTTTCCCAAAAATATAAAAAAAGGCAATTTTTAGTTCCCGAAAACAAAGGAAATATTAAAAAAATAAATAACACAAAAAACCGGTAAAATTCCGTCATATCTACCGGAAACCGAGTCGGACAAATGATATGTCATTCGAAAGAGCTCCTCGAGCTGAGTCGAATGACACCAAAATTAGCTTCGGGACTCACATATGGGCCGAGATATAGGTCCCCGAAAATCGAAAAACCATAGGGGGGAGTAAGCTCAATTTTGGGGTGAAAAATTCGAATATGTAAATTATACCTCATTCGAAAGAGCTCCTCGAGCTGAGTCGATTGACCACAAAATCATTGAAATCTGACTTGATTTGACAAAGTTATAATCGTTTCTTTTAGCTCCTTACCTATGGTCTCCGCGGAAGTTTTTGCTGATCTGGAGGAAGCCAGGCATGTCCACCTCATCGATAATAAGAATAGGATTAAGTTACGAGCCCAGAGCCCAGCGACCGTAGACTCCCCGCGAGGCGCGTGCCGCAAAACTCCGCGCGAAGCGCGGAGTTTTGCACAAGCGCCTCGCCGACGCCCCATAGGTTTAAGTTGACTATTTGAGCCTCTTTATCTCGGCTCGGAATAAAGATCTCAAGCTGATTTTGGTGTCATTCGACTCAGCTCGAGGAGCTCTTTCGAATGAGGTATAATTTACATATTCGAATTTTTCACCTCAAAAATCAGCTTACTCCCCCCTATGGTTTTTCGATTTTCGGGGACCTATATCTCGGCCCATATGTGAGTCCCGAAGCTAATTTTGGTGTCATTCGACTCAGCTCGCTGAGCTCTTTCGAATGTCATATCATTTGTCCGAATCGGTTTCCGGTAGATATGACGGAATTTTTCCAAAAAACCTTTTAATTTGCAGCAAACAAGTTTCATACCCACAGAATGAGGAATAGAATCATAACAGGAAGTCATCAAACGTAAAAGAGTTCCACGGCAAATAACAAAATCGCAGTCATGAATTATCTCTTTTAAAATACTATTTGGAGGGGCCAAAGAAGAAATCCAACGAGTCAAAAAAATAAGCCCGTCATCCTCCCTTTCTTTAATTATATCTTGGTTGTAACCATCAGACAATTTTGCTTTAATTGGCATTTTCTTCCCTTTGGCTACAACGGCCTCATAAAAATAACGAGCCTTGGAACGGCCGAGAACAGGACGACGGTTGTTATCCAAAGAAAATTCGGCAACACGAACTTTAATTTTAAGAAAATAACAAGAATCAACCCCCCCCCCCCTTATTCCTTCCTCAAAGTATGAAAAAATGGTCAGTCAGTCTTAGGTTAGTAAAATCGCGAGAGAACTACTTCGGCCCAAAGTTAAGACCGTGTGTTGATTTTGGTGTCATTCGACACAGCTCGACGAGTTCTCTAACCTAAGACTGACTGACCATTTTTTAATATTTTGAGGAAGGAAAAAGGGGGGGGGTACGAACGCAAGAATAACCCGTAAAGTTTTTTTCTCATTTTTTATAGATTAAATTACTAATCCCTATAGCTGATTAAATACTACAGGGAAAGAGTGAACTTGAGGAAGGACGAAAATCTGACCAAAATGGGCATTTTAAGGAAAGAAATGGGGAGGGGTATGCAAAATTAAAAAAAAAATCTGGTATCCCTTATCGAAGAGGTCGAATGAACAAAAAATCATAGAAGGAAAAAAACTGGAGAAATTTTACTCAAAAGTATCGCCTAACGGTTTATTATTTAAATAAAAAACCTGGGTCTGAAAGTAAATTAGTTTTTTGATCAACGTTGAGCAGGTTTAAAGGATCTGAAGAAATATTAGGGAGATTTGAAAGACTCATTTTTGATAAAAAAATAATTAGAAACGGAGGTGTCTGAAATTAATCTTTAAATAAATTCGGAAAATAATATTAGAAAAGTTTAGGCGGGACACGCCCAAAAGCCATAACTAGCTGGAAAATTTCTGGTCAATATCAATTTGTCTTTAGTTCAACGAGGGGAACCTTTTAATTTTGGTAAGATATGAGATCTCGCAGCGGGCTAAACGGGACTTTGGGGTTTGAAAAATAGCGTGTTATTTTATGAGAGACATTATACATTATTTTTTTTTCACTTTATTTCTGTTTGTTTCAGTGCCAACCTCTTATTTTTCCGTACCGAATTCTTTTTGAGTGTCAATGAAAAAAATCAATCAATTTTACAATACTTCAATTACAAATCATAAATGATAAACGAAATAAAAAATAACAAATAAAAATTACTTAAAAATAAAAGTAAATCAAATATGTATTAATTTTTTGGCAATCCAGGAGAATTGGGGTCCCTGCGGAAAAAAATCTTAAAAATAAGAAAAATAATTTTTCTAGGGTAAAAAAATACGCTGATTACGAATCTGAACTCAGATTTTGAAAAAGTCGAATCCCGAACCCGAAATTCGGATATTTGACATTTTGGGAAAAATTTCGAAAAATAAACAGAGCGCAAATTGGTCAAATAATATCTCATTCGAAAGAGCTCGACGAGCTGAGTCGAATGACATCAAAATCATCGCAATTGATCAAGATCAGGCGAAGTTATGACACAAAAAACATAGGCATACGTTGTTCGTTTTTTGTGGTATAACTTCGTCCGATCTTGTTCAATCACGATGATTTTGGTGTCATTCGACTCAGCTCGACGAGCTCTTTCGAATAAGCTATTATTTGCATATTCGAATTTTTCACCCCAAAATCAGCTTGGTCCCCCCTATGGTTTTTCGATATTCGAGGACCTATATTCGGGTTCGGATTCGACTTTTTCAAAATCTGAGTTCAGATTCGTAATCAGCATACTTTTTTACCCTAGAAAAATCCTTTTTCTTATTTTTAAGATTTTTTCCCGCAGGGACCCCAATTCTCCTGGATTGCCAATTTTTTTTCAATGTTCTCTGTCATGAAGTTCATTGAGAAGAGTCTGTTGTTGAGCCAACTTTTCAACTGTTCTTTCTGCATCTCCAGTGTTGCAGTATTGAATGGCCTAAATCAAAAAAACATTGATATAAAATTGTTTAGACATATAAGTCGATTATGAAGTGAATGTAAGTGCTCTAATCCCTGCTCAGAGATCCAACTCCGCCAACCATGTTGTTCAGCAAATTTGATTTGGAGTTGGTTTGAAAATTTAAAGTTGACCTCCAGCAAGGCGCCCTCTAAAGTTGAGTGGTTCGAAGCCGGCTAAAATGATTTTTCTATCTTACAATGTTCCATTGTTTGTGTTGAAACTTGATTCTGAAAAAGACAAGAATGTTCGGAACTTATATGGTTTGGGTACTCTTTTTTTAGACACCCCTTTCCTTTTCCATCATCATTCTTTTACTCTTCTTACTTGTCGCCTATCAGTCGATTCAGCGGATGTCAATTTTTTGTTTAAGATGTACAAAAATTCAGTGAATAGATAGGTCTACTAATTGCCATTTAAATAACTGAAATAGATAAAAATTTCCAAAAACAATGAAAGAAATTATAAATATTTCTTTCACTTTTCCTTCAAAAAATTTAATGTAAGAGTTACGCGTATTTTGGCGATACAAATGTTCGAAAAATTCCCAAAAAATTCTATCTTTAGGGGTATGTTTTTCGACCTCGACTCGGGGTTGGGGATTGTGGTTTGTCGAGGTAGATGCTTCGGGGTTTGGGTAGGGGTTTTTGATAAAAAAATCGTCGGAGTCGGGGTTTCGGGGGACGGAGTGCTAATCTATTTTAAACCTTCTGTAATAAAAGCAACTTTTCCAAAATTAAGACAGTTTAAATACAATGGAATATTATTTAGCGCTGCTTGCCACTGAAAAATAAATCTAATTAAATTTAAAGTTGATCTAGCCTTCTCATTAAGTTGATCATTTAAAGTAAAATTATAAAATCTCTGTTCTTCAACTTCAATTGATGGAGCTGAATTTTAATTATAAAATGAAAAATAAACAAAAATCAACCTTTTTGTCGACTTTAATTTCTTGCTTCAACTCCTTTTTGCGTCTTTTCTAAACGTTTCTTTTTTATTTAGTTTTGACTCATTGCCCTTAACACTATTCTCACAGAAAAAATTTTTATTGAAGTATTTTTGGACATTCTGAAATTTCATAATAGGAAATTTGGAATAATTTCGGAATACTAAACAGACTCCGATTGGGACAAATTATATGTCATTCGACTCAGCTCGGCGAGCTGAGTCGAATGACATCAAAAAATCGATTGGGACGTAAGTATGGGCCGAGATACAGGGCTCGAAATGGTCAAAAACCATAGGGGGACCAAGCACTTTTTTGGGGTGAAAAATTCGAAAATGCAAATAATAGCTCATTCGAAAGAGCTCCTCGAGCTGAGTCGAATGAGACCAAAATCGCCCTAATTGGTCAAGTTTGTTCGAAGTTATGACAGAAAAAAACAACCTAAACCTATGGAGCGTCGGCGAGGCGTTTGTGCAAAACCCCGCGCTTCGCGCGGGGTTTTGCGGCACGCGCCTCGCGGGGAGTCTACGGGCGGTGGGTCTGGGCTCGTAACATAAACCTATTCCTAAATCCCTTGCTCTGGACTAGAGACCGGCGCGGGACGGGATCCCGCGCGGGATTTTGCGGGATCCCGTCCCGCAATCCCGCACTTTTTTGCGATTTGCGGGATTTTGCGGGATGCGGGATTTTTGCGGGATTATCCCGCGGGATCCCGTCCCGCAAAGGTTTTAAAAAAAATTTCATCCCGCGGGATCCCGCAAAATATTTTGAATTGTTTTATCACGATGATTGGTCCCATTTGTTTCAGCTCAAGTTCAATTCCGACGAATATGTATGAGCTTGCCCCTTATTATTTTTTGATAACTGGGGACCTGGGATAATGATTATACCTTTGTACCAACTTATACTCGTAAATTGGTATGAAGTACATTACGTGTACAAGCAACGAGTACGAGTTAAGAACCCGTTAATGATTAGGAAATCGATTTTTTCAATAGATATTGATAATTTTAACGATTTTTGGAAAATCCCGCAATCCCGCGCGGGATCCCGCAAATTTAGAATGCGGGATTTTGCGGGAATGCGGGATTTTGCGGGATTTATCCCGCGGGATCCCGTCCCGCAAAGATTTTGAAAAAAATTTTATCCCGCGGGATCCCGCAAATGCAATTTTGCCGGTCTCTACTCTGGACGTATTTGGGGCCTTCGTAGCAGCAAAAATCTCCACAGATGCCATAGGTAAGGAGCTAAAAGAAAAGATCATAACTTTGTCAAATCAAGTCGGATTTCGTTGATTTTGGTGTCATTCGACTCAGCTCGAGGAGCTCGTTCGTTCGAATGAGCTATTATTTGCATTTTCGAATTTTTCACCCCAAAAAAGTGCTTGGTCCCCCCTATGGTTTTTGATCATTTCGAGCCCTGTATCTCGGCCCATAGTTACGTCCCAATCGATTTTTTAATGTCATTCGACTCAGCTCGCCGAGCTGAGTCGAATGACATATAATTTGTCCCAATCGGAGTCTGTTTAGTATTTCGAAATTATACCGGAAATTTTTCATTAAACATAGGTTTCTTAACATACCTAATTTTTACACACATTTAAATTAAAGTCTTCTCTACAATATCTAGGTAAGATTTCTGAAACCTAAGTTACTTAGCCGAGATATCGACATTCAAAGTCGATCAACTCGGATTTAAAAAAAGTGGAAAAATGAGAGAGCGTGAAAATGAAAAAGAATTTTTCTCATTGCAAAACAGTTTGAGTCCCGTTTAGCCCGCCGTGAGATCTTGAACCAAGGGGTATGACCCACTTTGTCGCGGGCACTTTGTCGCAACAAAGTGGTCGCTAGAAAGTTTGTGTTCCTGAAGTAAGTTATCACGGCGGGTTAAACGGGAAATCTGGTGGATCAAACGCAAGCCGTTTTAGTGCCAACTTCATGGCAGAGTTTAAGTGTTAACAAGGGGAACTCTCTTATTAGTTAAAACCCTTACATCCGAATTTACCCTTACATCCGAATTTTTTAAAATTTTGTATTTTTGTAGTCAAGAAATATTTAAACAATTCTGAAAAACATGCATTTCTGGAAAACTTATGAATTTTAAAAATCGGCAAAGTCCGTCCTATTTTAGGCCATAACTCACTCCATATTCGTCCTTTTTTTAATTAAATCCTCAATTTAATTTAATATTCAAATGCTGTCTACAATTGTCATATTTTCAAATGTCGTAGACCTTTCTCTCTCTCTCTCTCTCTCTCTCTCTCACACACACACACACAAGATCAAAGAAAAATTAAATAATAAATTGATTTAGTCTAGTGATAGCCTGTTTACTATAAAATAAAGGGCAAAATTCGATTTATTCTCGAGGATGGGGAAAAATATTTATTCTTTTTTAAACACTAAATATTAAATTTTGAATTTCTCTAATAATTTTTTTTTGTTTTGAAAGCTAAATTTTTCATTGTTGATGCCCGCTCCTGTAGGGACAAAGCAAAAAATTCTAGACCTATGACGCTTATAATTTTCTTGATTTTCCTAAATTTCATCATCCTCTTTTCCCCTCTCTTTGCCACTGACTTCCCTTAACTTTCTTCTTGGCTTGGGGCTTCACGGGAAAAAATAATGACGGCATCTTAGATCGGCATCTAAAAATTTTTAAATGCTGCTAGTTGAATCATCCTTAGATTAGTTGATTACATAAATGAATAATTACCTAAGTTGATTAATTACTTAAAACTTTAAATAAGTTGTCCAAAATAGAGCCCGGGATTTAAAATGATGCGAAAAGTATTATAATGTTCATGCCGCGAAAAAATTCATTGGATGGGAGATGGAATTGAACCATCATGGAAAGGGCCTGTGCCACCATCCAACCCAATGCTGGGTTATTTATTTC